AATGTGTTTCGGTTATTGATTAATTTTCTATCTCTCTCTCTCTCTCTCTCTCTCTCTCTCTCTCTCTCTCTCTATTATTCATTTTCTTCATTCAGTTATTCAACAACAACAACAACAAAAAAGACTCGATAATGATATAAAAAAAAAACATTCCTTGACCATCAATGACCACACCATACGACGACAATGTTCATTGATTATTATTATATATGATCATTGACAAGAAAATGTAGCAAAATAAAAAAAAAGTAATAATAAAAGAAAATCAGAACAATGATCATTGGATCATTGTTCTGATTTTAGATTTTTTTTTCTTCATTTCTACGGGTTTATATGTGGATAATCATTGTTTTTGTTGTTGTTGTTGCTATTATTATTGTGACCTTGGACTTTGTCGAAATCGATCTAATCATATTTAAAGCCGATCATTTTCGTCATTAAAAAAAACAAAAAACAAAAAAAAATTAAATTACGAAAAAACAAAAATTAGAATAGCTGTTTTTTTTTTAAAAAGAGTTTGATGAAAAAAAACAAACTTTGATTCAGGATTATCATAGATTCTTTGAATTTTTTATGTTTTCCCTAAACAATTTTCTGTCCATTATTTTTATGTTTATGTAAATCAAAATTTAAATGATTGAAAAACAAAATAAAATTTCATTTCTTTAGAATGATGATTATGATGGCCATAATAAATTCAAGTGAGAGAAAAAAAATGACCAAAAATGTATCATCACACAAATAAATTGAGTTAATTTTTTTTCCAAACATTCAATTATTCGAGATCCAATAAATTGGCTTATTTTTTTTCTCCAAAACGTTATTCCTACGTTATATTATTTCAAGGATAACTTTTTGGATGAAAAAACAAAGAAAAAAAACAAAACAATCATCATCATCATCCTCATCAATTCTATTTTAGAGATTTTATATTCAATTTGTTTTCAAACAAAATAAATGTTTGATGATGATGATGATAATAATTATGAATTCATTCATTCATTCATTGAAACGTAATAATAATCTCGGCTATTTTTACTTTCTCTTTCACTCTCTCTTACTCAATCAATGATACAAAAAAAACACATTCAACAAAAGAAAAATGATTAAGTTGTTTCGATTATTTTATTCAACTTTATTTGAACAATTGTGAAATAATCTTTTTTTTCAAATATAATTTAATTTAATTTTTTTCTTGGTTAAACCATGAAATATCATCCAAAATATATAATTATTTATTTTTCAAATGACAAATAATTTCATCGTTGAATCGAATCGGAAATAAAAATAAACATGTGGATTATTTCTTTTTAAATGTTTCGTTTCAATTATTTGTCATGTTTTGTTCGTTGTTCCAAAAAAAAAAAAATTTCCGGTTAAGTGTTAAAAAAAACATACTACGATTAGAAATTGTTTCAGGGTTTGGATCCATTACATTGATTCGTTGTTGTTGTTTTCTTTAATAATTAACCATTTTAGGGAATTTTTTGTTTCTTTCATCTGATCATCCATTGATCTATGTTTATGTTTTGTTTTTGTTTTTTGCTTGTTTGTGTATGTACATTTGTTAGCTAAGTCGTATCATGTTTTCATCATTATCATGATCACATTAACAGATTAATTTTCGATTAGATTATAATTAAACACTAATTACAATTTCAAATGGATATTATTGTTGTCTGTTTGTCTGTTGTTTAATATGTGTGTGTGTGTGTGTTTTTTAACTTTCTTTTTCATATAAAATTTCATTTCATTGAAAGATTAATTGTTTTTTTTTTCCGAAAAAAAAATCAATGAAAAGCTATAATTGTGATCATCACGTCCGAATTGTTGTTGAAGTAATAATTACTATTAATTGGTCGAAACAAAATTTAGAACAAAATTTACCTTTTTTTTCAATGTAATATTGACTTCACAAAAAAAAAAATTCGGTTCTTATAATGCGGAACACAAACAACAACTATGATGAGAAAAAAAAACACCATTCAAAGAAGATTTACTAGAAATAATACGATTATTCAATCATCAATCCATAATCACTAATTATTATCACTGATAAAAGATTGATTTTCATTTTTTTTCTTTCTATTGTTTTTATCCTTATGACAATATGATCTTTGAATCATTATTTTTTTGTTTTTTTTTGTTTTTGTCACATCAAAATATATGAATGATGACAGAAGAAAATTATTATCTTCTTATTTTGAATCATAACAATTTATGGGGTTAAATTATATTTTATTGTATTGATATTACAGAAAAAAAATGAATAAAATTATACATCTTTAAAACAATATGCCAGGTATCATCATCATTGCAACAATCAAAACAACAACAATTTGAATATTATTCCGGTTTTATTTATGAAATGAAAAAACACATGGATCATTTGTCGGAAAAAACAAAAAAAAAATTATCGAAAACTAACCAATTTCCCTAAAAAAAACAACAGTGAATATTTATTATTATTAATCAACATCAATCAAATAATTTGGACATCTGGATTTTATTTGATTATTTTATATATGATTTTTCATTTTGTTTAAGATTGATCCCTGTTGATGTCAATCGTTTTTTGTTGTTGTTGTTTTGTTGATGATAAAACAACACACCTATCAAGTTAGTCAATATATATCATTGATTATGAATTCGACGATCAATAGGATGAATAACAAAGACAAAGATGATATGTTTACAGAAATGAACAAAAATCTTAAATAAACTGTTCCAATTGGATCAATCCAAGAAAAAAATGATGAAAAATTATTAAAATGAAATGAAAATTGCTACTTCTGGTATTTGTTTTTTCTATTCATCATTTATTCATTCATTCTAATGTCCGATTACCACCTCCAATCAGTTACGACCACACATATACACGATTGATTTCGATTGTCAATTCAGTTACAATCATTCATTTATATCAATCAATCAAAATTTTTTTTTTTTTGATTTGATTTATTTTGTTTTCTTTTTCTTTTTTTAATTTGATTTATTCATTTTGATCATCAACGAAGATGATGAGCATCATTGTAGTTGATGATCTACATCGATTCATTCATTCATTCATTCATTTTATACAAAAATCATGACAATGATCATTTTCATCTTGTTTTGTTTTTTTTTTCATCTTCTTCTATATCTGTTGTTGTTATCTTTGACTTTTTTTTTTCTTTTTATGATTACTATCGATGTGTTGTTTCTGGAACACTATTTGAACACATTTTTTTCGTAGTCATCATCATCAACATCATTCTTTGTCTTCGTGGTCAAATTATCATCATCATCATCATCAACATCAACCATATAACGGACAGATTTTGTTTTTTTTCCAACATATAACTGTTGCACGAGTTCTAATTGCTTCTTTTTCTTTTTTTTTCATTTTGTTTTGTTTTAGTTTTAAACAAAAAAAAATTTCTGATTTCTCGGACAAAGCTTCAAAATCAAAATCGTACGCGAAAAACAAGACAAAATTTGTTGTTGTTGTTGTTGAAAAAGTCATCCTGGTCATTTACGTTGAAAATTTTGTTTTCACCACCACCATCATCATCATCATCATCATTTGAATCCTGTTCAAATAGCGGTCAAAAAGAAAAAGAAGAAGAAATTAAAATAAAACTGGATCGCTTCCATTGTTTTTTGTTTTTGTTTTTTTTTTCGTTTGTGATAGATGTATAAGTTTGCGTGTGTGTGTGTGTTGTTGTTGTTGCTTTTCCGAATAGTGAATGATGAAAACGATGACAAACACATTACCATTATCATCACTTATATAATTTGTAACTAGCATTTAAATTACAGAGATTTTCGGATACGGATTTAAAAAAAAAAATCTTGTTTTTTTTCATGTTTGTTGCTGCAGAAGTAACAAGAAACAGAAGAAACAACAACAACCATAGCTATGATGTATAATCTTTTCTTTTCAATTCTTTTTAGATGAGAATCATATCATTCTGGAACATTTAAACATTTGTTATAATCAAGACATGTTTAAAAAAATATCCTTTCCCCTCATATTTTCATGATTGTTTTATGTGTAAATTGGTCGTTTACTCTTTAGGAATAACTTATATATTTTCATTCCATAATCCTATTTCTCTCTTCACTTTCTCTCCCTCTCTCTCTCTTGCACGTTCTCTTTCTTTTTACATAAATATAACGTGTCTGTCTGTCTCTCATTTTTTGTTTTTGTTTCTTCCTTTAGATTCCTAGAGAACAAACTTAAAGATTCAATAGTCTCTGTGTTCCAGAAAGAAATCCAGCAAAGAACTTTAATTTTCTTTTCTTTTTCTTCTTGTTTTTATTCTTTTTTTTTTGTTTTTTAAATTTTAAACATTTGTGATGAACATCCAACACACACACCTGTTGCTTCTAACATCTTCTTAGGTGTCTGAATCTATCTATTACACATAAACATAAACATTTGCAAAGAGCAATAGTATCCCTCTAATTTATTTTTATTATATTAATTTTGTTTTTCGTGAATCGTATAGACACATACACAGGTTAATATGGATATAGACATTGAATGAAAGAAATTTTTCTTTTCTCGTTTTTTTTTCTTCTTACTTTCCATCATCAATATAACTATCGTTTCAATAGACATAGTTTGATTCATTTATGTTTAGTTGTCAGGTTGAATTAGATCGTTATAATTTTTTTTTTTTGAATATTTTTATTTTCGTTGTTCATGGAAATATTTATTCTAGCAAACAGCGGAAAAAAATATTTACTAAATCAAGAATTGAAAATTACAAACAAAATTTTTTGTTGTGTTTGGTGCCGGTGTATTACAAAATTGATGCCAAAAAGTGATATATATAATTTTTCTGTTTTTGTTTTTTTATGCTGTGATCGATATCGATGATGATTGATTTCCGATGATTTTTTTTCCTGTTTTGTTTCTTTAATTTAAAAATTTTTAATAAAATAAAAAATGTATGATTAAATTGTGAATTTTTGTTTGTAACAAAAATAAAATTTTATTAACAAACGGCCAAACGAATTCCAAAAAAATGAAGAGGTTTTTTACATCAACAAAAATCTTTGCTACAACACAACAACGTTCTTTGTTGTTAGCATTGATTTTATTATATTGTTTAACCGGTATACAAATTTTTGTACATGGTCAATTTATACATATTTTTGAAGTACAAGATGAAAATCGTGCACCAAAGTCAGATCTATTTGATCCATCACAATATAAATATGTTTCACCATCACAATTACAAAAACAACAAGAACAGAATAAATTGTTACAATTACAGAATCAGGCAGCTTCTAGGCAAAGTTCATCACTATCATCTCAAACACAATCATCATCATCATCATCATCATCATCACCATCATCAACACCATATTCTGATATATTACCAACACCATTGCCACAATCACCATTAATACGATCATCAATTGAACCGATTATTAATAATGCACCACAAGTACCTGAACTACGACGAACAACACCATTAAAACAAAGTTCGGTACAATATGTTGATGATAATTTAAATAATAATCAAAATAATAGCCATAATCATAATCATCATCATCATCATCAATATCAACCACAACAACATCAAAGTAATCGTATACGTATTGGATCAATACCAAGATCTAATCAAAATGCCTATTCAATGGCAAATCAAAATATTAGCATTAATAATCAACAACAACAACAACAACATTATCATCCATCAATAATAACAAATAGTTCTTTATTGCCAAATATTACTTATATGAATTCTATACGACGATTATTGCAACCAAATATTACGGCTACAGTATTACCATCAACGGTAACACAATCACCAATTACTACCGGTAATCATATACCGGAACAATATGATTCAGAAATTCGTAAACAATTACGTATGCAACAACAACAACAACAACAACAACATTCAGAGAATCGATATAGCCGTACACAACCATTACGGGTATCGGCACAAAATCAACGACAATATGTGGTTAGTATTTATATTTTTACATAACATTTATTCATAACAACTATGACATCAATCGGATATAAAATTGACAAAAAAATAAAGAGAAAGAATGAGTGAAAACATCGACCTAGAGCATAATAATTTTTATTTTTTTGCTCCCACGCGTGTAAACACATTCATCACATCCCATTATGATTATTAATGTCATTGTTCCATTTGGAATTCATTTTGTTTTTTTGCTTAATGGGCAGTAATTTTGAGGGGAAAAAACCTACTTACATATCATCAATGATGATATATTAGATTTATCTAGTTAAAAAATTTGATATGTATGTGATGTTCACATGAAAAATTCTACTTTTTTTCAATAAATTTTTGTCTATCGGTTGAGATGACCATCAGGACAAGTTCAAAGTTTTTTTTTGAAAAATTTCTGTTTTTTTTTCATTCAAATTAAACTAGGTTAAACATCCAAAAGTGATAACATCAAAATAATTTTCATTTTTGTTCTAATTTGATAACAATTTCCTTTGGGAATTCGATCATGTTGAGTATCACAAAGATTTAATCAGTTTAAAATTAGAACCTGTAGTTTGGATTGAATTTATTTCTAACTTTATTTTTAATTGAAAAATACTTATTATATCTAGGTACGTGTTCCTGCTCCATTTTCGGTCAATATTTCCAATCTACAATCACCATCACCAAATTTATTACCACAACAACAATTGCCACCAAATTTAAATCAATTACCACAACCATCACAGAATCAATATACACCAATACAGATTATTGTACCACCAAATGGTCAAAATTCTAATCAATCGGCATTACGATTATCAACATTGAATTCCGTTATGATAGCTGGTCAACAAGATAGAGGAATACCATCGAGCTTGTTGAATTCGTTTTTACAACGAACTCAAAATCAACTTCAATCACAATCACAATCACAAGTACAAACACCGCCACAACCACAACCGATTTCAAATCAACAACAACAACCGCAACAACAATCGCATCATCCAATAAGTTAGTATATAATAATATTGAATGACAAATCTTAATATTAATAATGAATTTTTATATGCAAAATATCAATTATACAGTTAATCAACCACAACCACCATATGCAGCTAATTTGCCTCAATTATATGCTTCATTACAATCTACACAAACGCCATCATCATCACAGCCGATGATTGCATCAGGTCATCATCAATCATCGAACCCATTACCACAGCCAACTATTATCACGACAAATACAAATAACGCTCCAATTGGACGATCTGTTAATGGAGTTTCCAACAATACACTTTCATCGTTGTTTAATCCACCAATCACCAACAAAGAAAGTCTTACCGATGAAGATATTAAATTGATTGAAGAACATAATCGTAAAGTTCAGTATTTCTTACAGCAAAGACAAGCAGAATTACAAGCACAACAAGAACGATTACGGCAACAAAAATTAGCTGAACAAGGTGCCCAAATGAAAGCCCAACAAGAAGCTGCCGCTCGTGCTGCTGCTGAACAAGAACGTATTCGAAGATTGAAAGCTGAACAAGAGGCTGCAGCTCGGGTAGCAGCCGAAAATGAACGCATTCGAAGATTAAAAGCTGAACAAGAAACAGCAGCTCGTGCAGCAGCCGAACAAGAACAATTACGACGTTTAAAAGCTGAACAGGAAGCTTCGGCTAGAGCTGCTGCTGATCAAGAAAGAATCGCTAGAATTCGAGCTGAACAAGAACGTATTCAAAGAATTCGTGCTGAACAAGAAGCGGCAGCGCGTGCAGCTGCTGAACAAGAACGTATTCAAAGAATTCGAGCTGAACAGGAAGCAGCGGTTCGTGCAGCTGCTGAGCAAGAGCGTATTCAGAGAATTCGAGCTGAACAAGAAGCTGCAGCCCGTGCAGCTGCTGAACAAGAACGTATTCAAAGAATTCGAGCCGAACAACAAGCAGCAGCTGAACAGGAACAGATACGACGCTTAAAAGCTGAACAAGAAGCGGCCGCTCGTGCAGCAGCCGATCATGAACGAATTCGAAGAATGAAAGCTGAACAGGAAGCTGTGGCACGAATCGCAGCTGAACAAGAACGTATTCGAAGATTGAAAGCTGAACAAGAAGTTCTTGAACAACAACAATTGCAAAAACATCGTGAAGAACAAGAGATGGCAGCACGAGCTGCTGCAGAACAGGAAAGATTGAGACGAATTCGTGAAGAACAAGAACGCTATCAAAAATTGAAAGAGCAAGAATCGGAACAAGAACGACAACGGCAATTGCGTGCTCAACATGAAGCAGCAATTCGTATGGCTAATGCTGATCGTTCTTCGCGATTGCAAAGGATTCAAAATGCACAAGAATTGGCAGCTCTACGATATCATCAGAATGCACAATTACTTGGAGCATCTAATTTGACTTCAAACAGTCTGTCCTATCAAGCCGAACCAAGTTTAGCACTTGATGAAGCTTCATTGAATAGCAATAGACAATCAACTGTTTCGCGATCTCAAGTCGATAATACCGGTCTTGTTGATGCAGCTCGTATCCGTGCTGAAAAAGAGGCACTGGCTGAACAAGAACGTTTATTACGATTTCAGGCCAGTCAACAAGCGTTAGCACAGCAACAGGCAGCTGAACAGAATCGTTTACGACGACTTCGAGAAGAAGAATCATTACAAGCAGAAGAAGAAAGATTAGCACGTGAAGCACAAGAACAACAAATTCTTCGTGCACGTAATGAACAAAGTCGATTGATTAATGCTGCTAGAGAGGCAGCAATTCGTGATCCAGCAACAATGTCTTATACACCTTACACTGAAGATTTGCATAAATATCAAACGTCCAATGTATCAAATTCGCAACAATATGGTAGCCTTAACAATGTTCGATCACCGGAACCAGCTGTATCTCGTCAAACTGCATCATCACAAGCAAATCCGGTTAATATTCGAAGTATCAGTGCAGATTACACTGATAGACGATCACGTAATTTTCTTACAAAAAAAAAATTATTATTATGAAATTTTAACCAATTTTTTTTTCTCATGCAATTCATAGTTTCTAATTCTAATCAAATTGATTCTTCATTACCATTAACATCAAAAAATGAATCACATTTTAAACCGGCTAAAATAAGTTTACAAGAATTACCACCGGATCTAGATAGAGATGGTATTCCAGGTGTTGCTGGTCGAGATTATCCAACATTAACTGAGATACCAAAAACATCATTTTCATGTGCCAGACAACCATTGAATGGTTATTATGCTGATACAGGTATATAATTTTGTTTTTCGTTTTTTTTTTCAAAAAAAAAAATTAATCATTTATCAAATTTAAAGAAACGGCATGTCAAGTTGTACACATGTGTCAAATGGGTGGTGTACAGGATTCATTCATATGTCCAAATGGTACAATTTGGAATCAGGAAAAATTTGCATGTCAATGGTGGTACGAGGTAATTTGAATTTTCAAAAAATTAAAATCTTATCCATTATGAATTAACAAAAAAATTTGTTTATTAATTATGTAGGTGAATTGTGCGACAGCTCCAACTTTTTATGCTCTTAATAATAATTTATATAAAGGTAAAAATGATGGAAAAAATGAGCAGAGCTCATTTAATTCCGCATCTTCATCATCACCAACTTCATCATTATCCCGACAGCTTTAAATTAAATGCAATTATGAATAATTAAATAATTTTTTTTTTTACTTGTAAACTCAAACATTCAAACAAACATACATAATTCATACACACATAAACAAAATTGTTTACTTCAATTATTATTTTTTTTTTCTTCATAAATTCGATCGACTGCCGAAAGAATTGAACAATCTATTTTTTTTTATTGAACAAATTGATTTTCAACAACAATTAAATCATCATTTTTGAGTAAGCAATATTTGTAATTGGATCGTTTATTGCCATAGATTACCAAAAGAAAATTAAATAAATAAATAAAATAAAACAAAATTTAAAAAAAATTGAAAGAAATAAACTGTGTAAAAATGAAATTAAAAATTATTTACATTTATTAAAAACAAAAACAAAATAATAACTAGAGGCAAAACAAAAAAGTGATGATGCTGTTTTGTTATGAATCAATAAATTAAATGGAATCCTATGAAATAATTAACATGATTGATTAATCAATTATGTGAATTATAATGTTACAAGTTTTTCATTGTTTTTTATTATCATTAATATCATTACATTCATATTCGGTGGTTAATGTTGAACACGATGATTTACATACAATTGAACAACAGAATTGAAATACACATTCACATTTATATGTTTTCAATCTTGTTCGTTTACGATAACCTGAATTGCAACAAAGTTTATCACACGATTCGATCGGTGGCCATTGTTGATATTGATTTTTTATTTCATCAATATCATTAATGATGGAAGTATTTGTTCCAACCATACATAATAATGATTCATTTGGTTTGGATGATATTTGATTATTTGATGATTGTTTTATTGTTTGACAATGATTAATTGATGGTTTAATATAGATTAAATCACGTTTACTTGCTTTTATATTTAAATCATTCAAACGATTCATATTTGGTTGATTCAAATCAAATAATGTTATATTAATGAATGCTTTTTGTAATTGTTTTAATTGATTTAATTTTATCGATTTTTTTCTTATATGTTTTTCATATTTTTGTCGAAATGATTTATTTAGCCATGAATATGATACCATTTTAGCACCAATATAACGATTATATAATAATTGTGTTGCCTGTCGAAATCCACGTATCGTATGCCAACATGTACGAAATGTACATGATCCACTAAAACCATGACATTGACAACGATATATTAGGCCATCACGAATAATCTGTATTTATACAATGAATAAGATGAATATTCATAATTTTTTTTTAAATTTTTGCTGCTGATAATCAAAGGAAACAAAAATTATCGATCTTTACCTTACGGCCAACATTATTATTATGTAAATTTATTAATGAATATGGTGACATAATTTGATGTTCGGATGAATCAAGAAAAATTCTTGCTGTTTCTACACCGAATTGTATATTATGTGAACAACCATTCCATTTCCATTCTTGATTTGAATGTAAATCATTTGTTGATGATTGCAATAAATTATCTTCATTAGATGATGATGATGTTGTGAAAAATGAGGATGATGATGATGAGGAAGAATAATCAGTAATATCAAACAAATCGATTTGGTTATAATCTTTTTTTAAAGATCTACAGGAACAATATGGAAAATTACTTCGCGTACATGCTTCACTTAATGTATAAACAACGGCAGCGGCAAATAATGCATGTGCAAATGATGCTTCTTTTGTGCCTGAAAAAGTTATTTTACATTTGAAATTTCATTTTAAAAAAATAAATGGGTTAATTAATATGATTATTACTATAACATACCTTTGATATTAATATCAGTTATATTAACATATAAACGATTTAATGAATTCTGTATCCATGTTGAACAATTCCATGATGGATGTAATTGTATACGATTATTAAATAATTGTTGACATTCGGAAAGTGCAATTTGTATACCTTTCCTTATTACTGATAATATTTCCGGACTTTTTTGACAAATTTTTAATTGTTGTACATTTAGATTCGGTATCCGTTGACAGATCATATTTTGACATAAACACAATGGTAAATTCAATGATAATGTACTGTATGAAAATTTAATTGAAATAATTTATTTAAATTTTTGAATTGATTTTAGTTTGTTTGTTTTGTTTGTTTGGTAGAAAAAGAAAGAAAACAAAACTCACCTGATCAAATAAAGTAAAAATATTGAATTAAAATTTTTGACATTAATTTGATGAATGGTGAACATAATTAAGTTTCCATCAAAATCGGATATGTTTTTATCCACCATTTAATTTACAATCAATTTGGATTGAATTTTGTTGTTGTTGTTGTTGATTTTTTTTCTGGAGCAAGTTCTGTATTCAGTCACTATGATACGTTATTAATGAAAGTTTATAACATTAGAATTGAGGTAATAATAATAGGTAATATAAAAGTAATAAATATGATGACATCATGATGATTGAATTTTATAATTAAATCAACAAAAACAATTAATCAGTGAAGAATCAACAGATAAAATAATTATTGAATGTTGACAATGATGATGATGATGATTGTATCAACATTAACATTTGAAACAAAAAAAAAATCCGAGGTTTATCACAATCGATTCAAATATTGTCTGGGTGAAAAAAAAAGTTTATTTTTGAAATTATGAGCGGAAAAAAAAATAGAATCGTGCCTTGAATTGATTGAAAAAATCTATAACACTAATTTTTGTTAGAAGAAGAAGAAAAATGATAATAAAAAAGAAAAGAAAATGTCAAACAATCTGAATGAGCGTCATTGGATAAATAAATATAGAATAAATACTGAAAAACAAAATCGACAACAACAACGACAACGATAATGACAATCAATTAAACCAAAAAAAAATAACAGGAAAAAAATAATAATTAAAAACTACCGGCCGAAAAGAAAAACAATATTAAACAAAAAAAAAATGATGACAATTGACGTTTCATCAGTTATATTTGATGATTATTGAAATGAATAAAAATGAATGTTGATTCTTGTTGTTCACTATTTTTTCAAATGAATAAATGAAAAAGAATTGTTCATTAAATAGCCATTAACATTATTGATTGTTTGGGGAGCCTCAAATGTTTTTTTTCTATGAAAACAATTTTCCTTGTGTTTTATTTTCTGAATGAACGATTAGAACTCAATTGGATACGTCACCCACTTATGAGAAAAAAAACACCATGTGTAAATACAAATTCTGTGAATAGAATTCTATCAACACAACAACAACAACAAAAAAAGAAAAAGAAAAACTGTTACATTGAAACAAAATAAAATCCTAATGATCAGAGAATGACATGTTGATTATCATTTTTTTTCTCTCTTCTTTTTTTTCACCATCATCATCATCGTCAGCATACGTCAATATATGAATAAACCTTTCAACACTGATTAGTAATTGAATGAGTTAGTGTAAAACCAAACCGAACCGAACCGAAAAAAAAATTGACGGGATCTCTAAAATAGTTTAACGATTTGTCTGATGGATGAAATAAACTACACAAAAAAATAATAACTTGATCAAAAATCCTCATCACTCATAGGATCATTGGCTTTTGATCTTTTTTTTTCTATCTTGAAAGATTCATTCATTCACCTCATTAAAAATTGACAAAATTAATGAATATAGGTTAATTAATTAATTAAATAATAGTAATAACTTTTTTTTATAAACATAACGTTGTCATAGTATTTGTTGATGATGATGATGATGATGAAGATAATGATAATTATACTCGTATCTTACCATATAATTTTTGTGGTCCTTCATTAGTCGTTGTTGTTGTTGTTTTTTTTTTGTTTGTTCGTCGTTGAAATGAAATTTATCTTGAATCTTGAATTTTGTTCATTACATTGACTTTAAAATGTTTCTGTTATGATTTTTTATTATTATTATTATCTAAAAATGTTGGTTGAAATGAAAATAATTCTAGCTTTGAAATTCGAACAAATTATTACATCATCTATTTAATCTAACACAAGAATGAATGCTTATATAACCTGACAACGGCTAAAATTTCATCTGCATCGAGTTGGTGAAAAGTTTTTACTATTTTTTTTTCCAGACTTTTTTTTAGCCAATGTTAATGATGATGATGATGATGATGATGAAAATTGTCTCGACACAGTCTCGAATCGATCATCAAAATGATCGATTCATGTGTTTCAACTTTATTTATAAGAATGAAATGTGTTTTACTTGTTTTTAATGAATTTAACTATGACATGACATGCCAACATATAATCATCAATTTGATTGATAAAAACGGACAACAATTTTAACGAGAGAATTTTTTTTTCAATTATATAACATTTATAATATCTATCCGATCACGAATTAATCCAAGCTTTCATTTATGATTATAATCAAAAATGTATGTCCGAAAAAATAAAATAAAATTAATTATACCCAAACATTGTAAACATTTTTCATTGTTTATTTTTTTTTTATAATCATTGAATAAAACGATTGATGTCAATCAAAAAAAAAAATGAAAATTCAATTTCATTCATCATTTATAATAATGGATGGTTCATAATCCATTCAAATGAATGTCAATAAAAATTGAATGAATAACAATGAAAAAAAAACAGGATTAATATTAATTCATTTTGACAAATATTCTAATTTAACAAACAATGTTGATATGAAAACAAAAAATTAATTATACAAAAAATAAACTTTCTGTCTATATATAAAATATTGAAAAATTCACATTTTTTTTTTGTTGAAAACATAATCACCATCAAACATTTACAACAAAACAACCAAATTGATGATCAGAATTAGTGAAGAATTCTCCAAAAAAAAGATAATTGAACAATGAAAAAAGTTTGTGATGTGAAAAAAAAACACACATACAACAAATATGACGACGATGATGGCGACGATAATAATAATAATGATGATGGTTATGGTGTGTGTGTGTGTGTGTGGCGACAAATAAAATTCTTTTTATTGGACATTTAAATTTTTATTATATCAATTATCATCATTTGATATAGTCGTGAATGATGATTTTGAATATATTTTTTTTTGGTAATGAAAAAAAACCCAATGAATAATTTCGTTGAGGAATAAAAATTTAAATGTTAATGATGATGATGATGATTAAATGAAATCATAAAAATTTAGCTAAAAAAAGGAAATTCTTCACAGTATTGAATTTGTTATTTTAATGATGCAATTGCAAAAAAAAGTTGATAATTTTAGATTTTTTTTGAATTGAAAAACATCATTGATTACACGGAAATGAATGATGATGTAACTTGATGAATGAATGAATGAATGGATGAATATTTAAAAAAACAAAGATCACTAAGAAGAAATTCATCAAAGTTGAACAATTCCTGATAAATGTTATTAAAATTTTTAATGATTTTATAATTAAAATAAGTATTCTGTAATCAAATCAATTCATTACATACACACATTTTGTATGCACATTGTTTTTTTTTGAACATCACATATTTGGATTTAGAATACTAATCACCAGATATATAAACCGGATAAAATAGATACCATCATCATCATCACCATAATCGAATATATATATGAAAATATTATGATAACAAATATTTTTTTGTTTTGTTTAAAACATCCAATCAAACATACACTGAACAATAGCAAATATAGAATGAATTGAAATGGATTAAATGTTGTTCTATAGTCAATCGAATCGATAAAGATTGATGTAATTGAGAGAATGGGAGATATAGATATAGTCAAAGAAAAATCAAACAAAACAAAAAATTTATTTATTTTTCTAAACATAAATAACATTGGCTACGAAATATGATAATTTTTGTTCGGTTCTGTTCGTTGTTACTTCTTCTTCTTCATTCAATGTTTCCACAAACATTATTGACAACTATCAATTAAAATTTATGATTAATTAACTTTTTCTTTTTTTTATGTTTCATACGAAAAACAACAAAAATTTTTAATTAATGAATTATTGAAAAAAAAATACGAGAAACAAACATGCCGAAAAGATAATTTCAATTCATCAAAATCAAAAATCAAAAAAAAAAATTGTAAGGATCATCATCACATATCATCATCATCATCATCATCATATAATGAATGAATCATGTTATCGATAATATTTGGTGGCTACCATCTTGTTTTTTTTAATCAATGATTGCACACACACACTTTCACACTCAATAACATATGGAAATTATTTATTGAAAAACATGAATTGGCCGGTTGTCGGACATGTTTTTTTTATTTTTTGTTGGGCCGCACACACACACAAGATGCTATATCTTATTGATCATCTTTGAAGAATAAGATAATTTGTGTTTTTGTTTTTCAAAAATCTGTACATCTTTTCTATGTTAAATATTCCTAATGTATAATTTGCATTTATTATTAATTAATAATTTTCTTTTTCCTGACAAAAAAAACAACAACAACAATGATGACGACTTTGATGATGGACAATAATAATGTAGTTGATGAAACCAAACAACAAAATGAAAAAAATGAATTTCAAATTTTTGTTTTGTTTTTCAGATAAAGATAAGATGAATGCACGAAATGAAAAAAAAACATAAAGGTGTTGATTATTGAAACAAAATTGATAAATAATTGAATCAAAAAAGAAGAACTTTGATGATAAGATCAAAGATAATTACAATTTTTTTTTGTTTGTAATATTCAAAGCAACTTTGTTTATGTTTCAATGTATTGAAGATATTCGAAATACAAATGAAACAAACAAACATTATCATTTAATTGTACAATGCAAATACATTTCCGATTCGATATTGTTTAGTCAATGTTTGTGATAAGTATGTTTGTGTGATTAACTTTTGGAGTATTTTTTCATTGTTTGAAACAAAAAACAAAACAAAAAAAAAATCCATTCTTCATGATGCACAAATGAAATGATTATCATGACTATCGTGATACATCTTAATTTTTGTCATTTAATTTTTGGTTTAATTGTAAAAGAAAAGATTATAATCTAAAATAACCGGAAGTAAAATCATAAATAATTTCAAATTATGTAATCGTTTTTGATGTAAAATTGTTTTTAAATTTATCAAATAACATTGCCATCTAACGACAATAATTAACAAAAAAAATAATTCATAGAAAAAAAATTAGAAATATTGCAAATAGATGGCGATAGCTATTTCACGATTTATGATTCGAAACTTTTTAGAATTATGAAAAAAAAAACTTTTTATTTATTAATCTCAAATTTCCAAACGAATATAAGAAAAAAAAATGAAAATATATAAAATTGGCAAAATGAATATAATCCATACAAATGAAATTAAAATGTTACTGTTGATTCAACAACAGCATTCATGCAAAAAAAACACACCAAAAATTCACACGAATCAGGTTCGAATCAGTTTGTTTCAAAAAAAAAATTATCAATTTTAAATGAATATTTAGAAAAAAAAGACAATGAAAGAAAATTGAAAATTTCAATGTGTGTTTGTTTGTTTTTTTTTCATTTAAATTGTTATAATTATGTAATCATGATAAATGTATAGAATTGAATAATATTAGCAGCTTTTCTGAATGTTAGATGAAAAAAAAGGTGATGATTATGTTTGATTATGATTGTTATTTATTTACAACAATGGCAAATGAATATGAAGATAAAATAAAATGAAAGTATAACAATCATATATGAAAGATTCAAACATTTATATGTCTTTCTGCGAGTGTTTATGTGTTTATATGTATTTAGATTTGTAATTTTTTTTTGCCATTTTTTTTTGCATGCAACATGTTGATGCAAATCCTATTGGCACGTATATTTATTTGAATAAAGCAGAAAGAAGAAGAAGAAGAAAATAAAAATTTGCCAATAAAAAGTCAAGGTGGCCAATACGTGTTTGATTGGTTATTGTGTTTTTTTTTGTTGGTTATAATAATAATAATTTTTTTCTTTATTCATAAATTTCATCGCTATTATGATTATTATGATTTGGCGAAATGAAAATGAAAAATGTGATCGATATTGGGCCGTTATGTTGGTGTGTGATCACATATAATGAGTTATTATTATTTTGTTTTTAAAAATTATTTTGCATTTATTTCTGTAATGCTTGTATCGAGCGCAAGCGATTGAAATAACTTTTTTCGTTCAGATGATTGATAATATGAAATGGATGCTTTGATAAATTACAGTTGCAATCATCAGTTACATATTTTGTGTATAATCATGATGATAATGATGATAATGGAACTATAATGGATTCGATTTGATTGAATGAATGAATGGAAAAAAAATGTAATAGGAACATTATATAAGAATAAGAAGAAATTAATCTAATTATAATTCAATGTGGTAGGAGAAAAAAAAACATGATGATAATGATGGAACAGAAGTTTCAACAGATTTTTCTTTCGTAAAAAAAAACAACAACAACTTAATTTTCTCAGTTTTCAACAAAAATTTTGACGTTGATCGTGTGTTGTTTTCGTAAAAGACAAAAACGTTTTTCTAGTCTGTCGAAATTCACTTTTCAGGAACGGTTAATCTTACGGGTCAATTTATCGGATTGATTGTACGTGTTTTTTTAGTGCTGTTTGTATTAATGTTGAGAGAAAATTTAAAGAAAAAACAATCAAAAAGAATTTAGCCATTTCATTCGTTTTAGATATCTGCACGTGTTATTTCTTTCTTTTTTTTATGTTCTTTGTTCGTGATACATTTCTGATCAACAATCATTCATTTTATCAGGCTTATTTTCTGCGTGTGTGTGTGTGTGTTTTTGTGCATATTGACGATCATCACATACGATCATCAATATAAATCTAAGCAATAAAATATGGATAAATATAAATCATTCATTCGTTTTTTATACAATATTTTACGTTACAGTACAAAAAAGGATAAATTGAGATGTTGTTTTTGTTTTGAAAAAAAAGAAAAACTAATTCAATAAAGGAGTTAACCCTGTATACAATATGATCCGATTTTGTTCATCATCTCTCTAATATAATAGATATTAGAGTTAGGTTGTTCATAATACTTGTTCGTAACAGATGCCTTACTTAACAGATCAGTTATGCAAACTCACTGACCAAACAAAACAAAAAAACGATTTGACAATAAAAATTGTTCAACAAAATGAACAATAATGATAAATTATTAAATAATTGAATTAGTTGGAATGTTTGTATGGAAATGTTGAAAAATTAAATTTGAATGAAAAATAATTTGATGGATTTGTTGATTATGATTATGAAATGAATATGAATGATTTAAAAAGAATAAATTTGTTTGTTTGTTTGTTTTTGTTTAAATATTGTTCAAATCAAAAATTATTATACTGATTAATTGCCATCGATGATGATGAATGATGACTTGGTGTTCCGGAAGCGGATGATGCTACAGTTGGTGTTTGATGTTGTTGATGGCTTGATAAAGCAGTATGCAATGATTGTTGTGATTGATGTTGTGATGATTGTTGTTTCGGTGTTACATGAGGATGATGATGATGATGATGATGAAGATTTGCTATTGCTGTTGATGATTTATATGATGATCGATTGGTTCGTTGTGAATAATCCGAATAACGTTCCATTTCGTTTAGATGATGATTTGAATGTGGATTTGGATGATGATTTTCATTATGATGATGAGGATGAATATTATGATGATGATGATGATTTAATGATCCTAATGGACCATAACCTGGTGATAAACCATTCGATGATAATGATCCATGTAACGATTTACTTATCATTTGATTTTGTAGGCTACCAATAAGTTTTTTATTTGGTAAATATTCCGGATTCATAAATGCTGAATTTACTTCTCCTGAAATTGTTCAATATTATTGATTATTGGATCTTAAAAATAAAATAACAAAAAAAAAATTATTCAAACCTTTATATTTTGTACCATTAGGTAGATAATGATCGGGCAATAATTTAACATAACGTGAACCAAGTACAAAAGCCAATATAGACAAAACTATTGAATCGATAACACCGATCAATGCCAAAATGAATGCCCAACGAATACCGCATTGACCTAATGAATAGCTATCCGAATCATTTCCACAAACTTCACGTACAATCGGTGTATCCCAGCCAATCGGAAAAATTAACACACCAACCAACATTGAAATGGCTATTTAATCAAGAAAAAATAAAATTTAAAATTTAATGAAAAAATTTGTCAGACTTATTATGTTTATTCATTTATTTTTGTTTTGCCAGAATATTTCATGTTTATGAAAAAAATTGAATCAAAATATTTTGTTGTTGAAATTGTTTGTTAGTTTTCAACTCAACAAGGACAAATTGTTTCAAATTTTTTTTTATAATTTTGCCTTGTTCCTGTATATTAACACAAAAGATTCATTTCTTTTCAAAAGATTCAAACATTCTTTTACACAATGATTTGATTTATAATTTTTTTTTCTACATATTTTAAATCATAACAAATAAAATTGGTAAAGAACTGAACTATGTTATTAAATATTGAATGAATGAACATTTTGTAAAGGTAAGTTCATTCAAGATTGTAGACAAAAATTTTTTTTTTCATATTTTTAGCTAAATATTTTGTTGTTGTTTTGATAATCAAATTGAATTTAGTTCGTTAACATGGTTGAAATAGCACAATCCATAAAAATGAATGATTGAAATTATGAATGCAAAGTAAAAAAAAAAATGGTCAGCCAAATGAAAAAAAAATCGATTAATTAATCTAATGACATTGAATCGATTTGATTTGATTTTATCATTCAATTATCCATTTTGTTGTTGTCATTCCCATACTGTATTTTCGTATGCATTATGCGTGTGTGTGTGTGTTTGTGAATGCAATTCAAAATTAATGAAATTCAAAGATTTGTCTTATCGTTTTATTTATTTCTTAAATTAGACGTGACACCTTTGTTGTTGTTGTAGTTATTGTTTTTTCTTCAATATTTATGAAATATATAAACAAAAAATTTGATTATAAAATGATTGATAGTATCCGAATGGGAAAAGATTACTTTTATTTACATATGAAAAAAAAAACAATTCGAGGACAATGATTCTAAAATGCTAAACTAGACGCCTAACAATTGCCATTGACAGATTGAAATTGGTTAAAAATTTTGTTTTCGTATAGAAAAATACCCTTGATGATGATTATGATAAAATAGATTGGATCTTTTATCTACAAAACTAATCACCCCATATATATCCTGCTTTGTAGATTTATTGCCATAATCATGATTGTATAAAGATATAAAGTTTAATTTTCTTTTTCTTTTTTTGTGATCTAGAAAAGTATACAGATGAAAAAAAACTAACTAACTTGAATGATGCTTAAACCTTGAAAATCATTACAACATAAATACTTTTTGTTTTCTTTTCAATATTAAAAATAACAATGATTATATGATGAAGATGAAGAAAATAATAATTATATCGAAAAAGCGAAAGAAAACAACAACAACAACAACCATAGATAGATGTGATGAATATAATGAAATGTAGATCATCATCATCATTGTGGTAATATTATAATGATGATGATAATGATGATGATCATCATATAACCATAACAATAATCATAACCATAACAATAACCATAATCATAATCATTAGCCAGATCAGATGAAAAAAAAAAATCTGTTATATATAATGACACACACACACACACACAATAGATTGATGAGAAAAGGTAAAAAAAACCAGCAAACACACAAAAAAAAACATAAGTCCATCTGGATTTCATATTCAAATATGACATGTCATATAATGTCATTTTATTTTTTTCGATCGAAATATTCAAAATATTCGAAATGTTCATTGTACGTAGATTTTGTTGATATTTTGATAAAAATTCTTAAATCTTTTGTTCAATAATTTTCTATATAAGTAGATTATACTAAATAATATGATTACTTAAAACAATCATTATTATTAATGATAATGGTGAAAATGTTAACACATTATACACATGCATTCACGAAATGTTCGTGATTTTTTAACACGTGAATTTTTTCTTTTCTTTCTTGGATATATATGGTTCAATCAAATAAAAATCAAGTTATTATTACAATCGATTTTTATTATCATGTTTTGTTTTGGAAATTTGTGTGCGTGTGTGATATATGATGTGTTAACCCTATAGCCATTATCTTTTAGTAAAAACAAAATAAGTAAAACACGAATTTCATGAAATTTTTTTCTCCTTAATTGCTTTCCAAACTATAATTACTTCATTATTATTCTTTGTTTTTGGATTATGATTTGATTTGAAAATTTCATTCATTTATTTTTTCGATTTCGAAAAAAAAATTCGTCATTACATGTCATAAGAAAAACATTTTTTTTTCTTCATTTCTTTCATTTTATGATTTGAATAATTGAATTCAAAGCAAAAAAAAAAAGATTTCAAAATCTATTCACTCATCATTTGTTTGATCAAAACAAAATTTGAATTTGGTTTCCATATCGCACCATTTAACCATTCCAAAAGAAAAGTTTTGCTCATCATTATCATCAGTTGTTGTTGTTACGATGATAATGATGATTTCATTTTATTTCTGTTTATGGCCATTTTCAACAAGTGTTTTTTTTGGCAGTTAACGTTCCTATTCAATGTTATTGTTAACGATTCAAAAGAATATCATTGAAAAAAAGCAAATGAATGAAAAATTTCATCATTGAAAATCATTTCAAAGTCTTCAAAGTCAAAATCGTCATTTCATCTTTATAAACAACAAATTTTTGTTTAAAAAGATGAAATTTTCATTCACTTTCTCGTTATATATTTATGGTTGTTGTTTTTTCACTTTTCCTCCTCCCCAGCATTCATTCATCCAGAAAAAAACCGTAATCAAAATGAAAATGAAATGAAAAAATTTATTTTTTTTCTCAATTTTTTTCGGTATGGAACAATGAAAAACATCGACAAAATGGATTTTCAACAAAATAGATCAACAAGTTGAACGAGTTAAATCAAACAAATTTGATGATGATGATGAATTTTGATAGAACTTGAAACAAAAAAAAAATTAAAACATTTAGGAATTGATGGTCGAGGCCATACATGTGTGAAACAAAAAATGAAAATGAAAATGGAAATGGAAAACAAAATGTATGGTCGAGGTCATTTTAAATAAATTTTGTTGTTGTTGTTTACTTTACTTTCTTTGTTTTTTTGTTTCATTTTCTTTCGCCCGATTCTAATTTAAATGTAAATCATATCATTGTATACTTATATAATTCTCATCCTAAAGAAAGGGAAATTTTCGTTGAATTTTTTCGTTCAATGTTGCATGATAATGACAATTCAATTATCATCAAAAATATCAAAAATATTACTGTCCACATAAACTTGTCATTCGTTCGATCATTATATATCTAATATATTAGATAATTAACATAATGGCTAAGCTTTTTTTTTCTTCAAGTGTTATAGATATTAATGAAAATGATGAAAATAGAAAAATTCATTTGTGATAATGTACATTTCTGTGTGTGTTTGTGGAGAGGATAAATCTGAAAAAAAAACAAAAGGATTCAAAATGATATGGAACAAACAAGAGGAGGAGAGAATAGACACTTGTTAAGCTTTTATTATTATGAAATATAATTTTCATTGAAATGAAATGAAATGAATGGACAAAATAACAAGAAAAAAACTCAACAAATGATTCAATTAATCTCAAAAGATTTTCTAGTTTTTGCTTCTTATTTCTTTAATTTTTTTTTGCAAAATTCATCCTGTTATTTTATCATATTGAATTGAGAATTACAAAAAACTTAATGGATTTTTTTTCCTTTTCTTCATCATTTATTTATTATACATCCATATCTGACAAATTGAAACAAAACAAAAAAAAACATCTTGTTTTTATCGTTGTCTTTATTGATTGACATTACTATTGAACAAAAAAAAAATCTTTAGCATTAATATTAATAATGATAACAACCAAAATCTAATGCTGAAACAAACAATCAACAATGAAAAATAAAAACATTTCATTGAATAGAATGGAATCATCAAGCACTTGATTGTAACAAGTGGAGAAAAAAATTTCATTTACTTTAAATGTCATATTTCATTTAGATTCTAAAGAAAATTGATTTGAAACATCATAACTAGTAGTTGGTTGATTGGTCAGTTAGTTACATTGATGGATTTGCATTTGTTCAAGATTCCCAAGATGCATTGATAGAACTTTATTACCGAAAGAAAACAAAAAGTTTCAACAACAACAACAAGAAAAATAAATCAAGTCAAGTGATCATCGTCTGATCATTGTTTCATCCACCACCACCATTACAAATGTGTTTGAACCATTTGAAAACATACTTTTGTATCCGAAAACATTTCAGGAAGTACGAATGATGTTGACGATGATAATGATAAAATGGAATTTGTTATTTTGGTTAGTTGAACACGATTTTTTTCTCCAAAAAATAAGAAAAAATAAAATGTTTCTTTTGTTTTAAATCCATTCACAAATAAATACAAAAAACAAAAACAAGAAAATGATAACAACAATAATAACCGAACCTTTGAATTGACCTCATCTTTGTTTGAGAAACTGCTTTTGCAACAAAAAAAAAAAATACTATCTTTTTTTCGATCCAAAACAACAATAGTAATAATCAGTATAATTTTCGAAAAGTTCTTTATGAAGAACATATGTTGTTGTTGTTTTATGTCAGCCAGAACAACAACAACAAAAACGCAGAACGAAAGGAAAAAAATGTTTTTTTTTTGTTTTTAATCAATCAAATAAAAACGTGTGATACATTTTTTCGGATGTAGGTGTCCGCACACAAAAAAAACATTGGATTTGAAAATGAAAACCGCAAATGAAATGTGACATTTGAAAAGAATGTTTTCATTATTGTTTATATCCTGATACAGGAAACTCTTTGTATCATTTATATATCTAATAAAGACTTACAATTTTTAAAAAAAAACTCAATAAATGAACAAATTAAATGAAATAATTTCTTGGAAAACAAAAAAAAAATATGACAATAAAATTATGATTATGATTTTTTGTTCAGTTGTATCCAGTGTTTTAAAAAACATCTGCCCAAATCTCAATCATCATCTTCATATCCATCAAATTGATCACTTTATCGTTTTTTATTGTGATCAAA